TTCATGCGTGGTCATAAGCACTTGACATATCAATTTTTTGGAGAATCCATTCTACCCCCTTCCTCTGCTTCCTTAGCTTATGAGCTATCTCTTTTTTCATAATAATATTGTCAGTTCCTTGCCTCCCTTTTACAAAAGCAGCTTGGTTAGGGGCAATTAATTTGTCTAGTACCAACTGCATTCTTGTCACTAAACACTTCGATATTATTTTGTAGAGGACATTACAAACACTGATTGGCCTAAATTGTTGAACATTTTCAAGATTTTTTACTTTTGGGACGTACAAATCTAAGGGGAATTCTGTAGTGACAAAGAATTGTCTAACTAGAAAGCAGACATTACATTTTGCAGTACTCCAAAATTTTTGAAAGAAAAGGGGGGTAAACTCATCAGGGTCAGGGGTTGAGTGGGCTCTCAAAATCTCTGCAACTTCAGATTCATTGATTATGACCTGAATTAAGTTTTATATCTCCACTTCATCATCATGAGTCTCACCACTTGTCCGGATGGCATGAGATTTAAAAGCACCATCCACCTCCTCTAATCGCATAATTACTCTCTTATCATTTTTAATTTTTTAATAGAATCCATGGTGTTGCTTCTTTCAGAGATGGAACTAGAGGTTTCCTCCTTTGAATCTAAAATTTTCTCCTCCAGTTGCTTCAATCTATCTTCAATTTTATTGACACCCATGCCGGTTTGTTTTGATAATGTCTTGACCAAGGTTTAAAGTATTGACACAAACCGATACATCGGTGATTTAGAGGGGTCGATTTAAGGCATGGTTACCCTAAAAGCCCCTGGAGGGACGTATCGGGAAACCATCGATAGAATAAGTATCGGGTGATACGTATTGATACGTATCGATATTTTTAACCTTGGTTCTGACATTCAGGTTCCTCAGTCTACATGAGTAAGAAATGGAATTGTTTAGGTGTAGAGAGGATAAAGGGGTTTGTTTCTAAGACCAAGTAGCAATGATCCGAAAAAAATATTTCTTGTGATCCTAATTCGGGCATTTGGGAATTGAGAGAGCCACCAAGGGGTAGCCAAACCTCTATCTAGTTTCTCTACTACTTTGTGATAACCTTTTTTGCCATTTGTCCAGGTGAAAGTAAAGCCCCCCGCTTCTATCTCCATTAAACCATGATTTTGTATAAACTGGTTTAAAGGTTTATAAGTTCTGACCCTTGTGCTTTTCCTTCCTTTACAATTTGAACTCTGAACAAGGTCATTTAGGTCACCTAACAAAACCCAACTTTGTTGGTTCCCCAACAGATGATTTAACTTGCTCTAGAACTGCTCTCTTTTACTCTTCATTGGATGGCCATATACAAGACATAACCACAAATTCATATTAGCTGGTCCACATTTGATGTTAAGGATGATAAATCTGTTTGATTTATTAATTAATTGGATTGGCAGATTATGTTTCCAACCACAGTAGAGACCTCTAGATAAACCTTTTGCCGACACCCCACACTAGAAATCATATTCCATCCTTTTACTCAGTTTTCCTAATTTCTCTAGATCAGTCTTTGTTTCGGAAAGGAATTCAATATCTGGGTTATGAATTTTTATTTGTTTGTGTAAAAATTGGGTTGTATTGGGACCACAACAACCCCTTATGTTCCAAGAAAAGACTTTCATTTTTGAACTCAGAGATTTACTTGCCAAATGATGAATGATAAGGAAAACAAAAGTAGATAATAACAAACGGGAGTGGTTGTTAGGAAAGGATGGGGTTAGATCTCCAAGACCTCTATTGTAGATACCTTCTCTTAGCTTTTTAATGTCTCTCAGGAGGTTGCCTTGGCCATTGAGAAGATTCTCCAGAAACAGAAGTCACTCCTCCCACCATGAAGTTTCCATTTGCTACATTTTACTTTGCACTATTAGGCTTAGGGAGCCCCAACTGCCATCAGGCTCCAGAACAAAATATTTTCCTTGTGGGACGGGGAGCCCTATTCTCCATACCGTCAGGTGCGTGGGTGACCATATCAACGTTTGCTATGCAAACAACAGATTTTTATTTCAGGTCAAAAATATATTTCCTGGCTCCTGGGTTAGCCCAACTTTATATATGGGCATTTCAATTTGACCCACCCCTCCACCTTTACACTATTATCTGCATGGCGAGCTGCGTTTCCAAAAAGTTCTAATCCAAAACGCCATGCACTTGAGCTTAAGGACACATGCCCGATATCTGTCATCAGCTAGGTGCAATCTTTTGAAACCTTTCGCTTTCGAGTTGAGTGAGTTGACTTGCCTGAGTTAGGCGCCGGAATCAGTTGAAGAGACCAAGATGTACCTTTGCTCTACTTTTGGTTGGCTGCCGATCTGTTATCCAAGCAACGTCGTTTTTTGGCCTCCATGCATGTTGTTGTTTCCATCTCAAGTTGATTCTCTTTTACCACCACTTTGTTCGCTAGCATTTGTGCCCGTTGTAAGCTCAATTCCTTGTCTTGGTCTTTTACCTCTCAGACCCCCCATGTGAGCCCTATGATTGGAGATTCTTTAACTGAAGTCTCTTTTACTAAGGCCAGAGTCGGTCTCCTATAAAAATAAACAAATTATCAAAGCTAGTCAACAAGCAAAATACAATAGGATAGACTCTAGAGATGCTAACCCCCGGCAGAAATAGTTAATATTGCATGATGCTACTCGAGGACAAAGAGAAAAAGCTAGACCTGGGAAAATAGGATGGAAAAAAACTAAAAGAACTGAATAGGGACTAAGAAATTAATTTGAGGACTTCAAAGGAAAACAGAAAGATGAGAGGTGAGACTAAACGACTCTTTGAAAAAAGGGAATATACACGTGAAGAAAAACCTAACACATACTCAGAACAACAGGGCCACACTCATGTTTACAGAAGAAATGGGGAAACGAGGAGTGGACAAAACAAACTATTGATCAGATCGAGTCAGTCAATTGAACATAATTGAGAAATCAAGCAAAACCGGAGAAGAAAAACTTTTTTGAATAAAACTAATTAGAAACAAGCAAGCTCAAATGTTGAGTTGCAATCATGAGAGCAAACTACCAGAGATTTAGGTAGATTAATACATTCCATCTGTATCCACCATTTGTCTTGTATTCCTGCAAATAGGTGGTCATGAGCCGAGCTTTTCACAAGCTATTCGAGCTCGGCTCATGAAAAGCTCGCGAACCCAATAATCGAGCCGAACGGTTCGTGAGGCTCGCGAAATGACTCGAATAACTACATACATACATACATGCATACAATAATAATAATAATAATAATAATAATAATAATAATAATAATAATAATAATAATAATAATTTATTATATATAATATTTTTATATATAATAATAACTAATTATTATAATTTTAATTTTTAAATATCAAATAAAAAATATTTTTATATATAATTTTTTTTTATAAAACATTTTTCTCAAGTTGAGCTCGAGTCAAGCCGAACTCAAGCTTACAGACTTTTGACTCAAGCCGAGATCGAGCTAAAGGTTCTAGCTTGAATCGAGCTCGAGCCTTGTACTACCTTGGCGAGCCGAGCTCAAATATATTCAGCTCGGCTTGGCTCAAATCCACCCCTACCTAAGAAGTGTGTTGATGACATATGGATATTTGTCAAGTTTGATTCAATCATATAAAATTGTTTTCTTTCACAGACTATAGGGCAAGAATAGAGAATGAGCTGATCTGTGGGCTTGTGACACAAATTAGCTGATGCAATGGCTGAAGTAGTACGACTGATCCGATCCGAATTTCGGTCCAATTTTACTGGATTGGATATTCTATCCTATTGGATTTTTAATTATGTTTGTTTCTATATTTTAGTGAATGATGATGAGTTGTGAGTTTCTTGAATTTGGATTAGCTGAACGCTTTAGCTGTTCAGCGGGCTATGGAACCAATAATGAGGTTTCACGCCAGTAATAAATTCATGGGGCCCATTGTATTTAAACCTTCTCTAATTTCTTAACATTGTCTTTGGCTATTGTACTCTTGAATATTTATTATTTAATTATTTTATCCATATAAAGAAAAAGCAATAAACCATTCAATTCAACCATTTCAATCATTATTAAATGACCCTAAACAGACGTTATAGCCTATAGGAGAAACTGGACTGTAGACTGGAATGGTCTCCTCCCGAATGGGTTGCTAGAACTTTTAATTATTTCAAGTAAAACAAAATTTTCTTTTGAACAAAAGAAATTTAATCGACAGTTTAATTCAAGAATGGTTGTTGGTTATGGGTGATATTATAACAGAATTCAAATCCGATCCAGTCAAGGGTGATTAGATTTCAATCCATGTATAATTGGATCCAATATCGAATATGGATCCACTCCTATCCAATCCAATATAATTTGATTTGGTTGTATTTTATGTAATCTGATTTGATTATATAAATAGGGTCTGTTTGTTTGGTACTCAAAATTGGAATTGGAATCAGAATCAGAATGGTCTATTCTTCCCACCTGTTTGGTTCAGATAAGAATCCAAAGTAAAATCAGAATTAGCTGAAATAGATCCTCATTCCCAAGGGAGGGGGAGAGAATGGCTATTCCCTTAAATGGGGGAATGCCATCCCACCAGAAATGGGAATGGAATTATGATTCCATCCAACCAAACGGTTGGAATTGGAATGGTCCCATTCTAGACTCTAAGGAATTCACACTAACCTATCCTTAATAGCTGAAGTTGAAGACTTTAAGTAACCCTTGAACTTGGGAAAATTTCTTGAATTCCTCTTAATATGAGTAAAATCTCAGTCTCCTACTTTTATCAAGTTCAAATAAGCCCCCCACAACATCCCACGGCATATCTACTATCATCGGGAGATGTTCCCAATACATGGCGGGGATGTGCTGTGGGAAACTATCTTGTGGGGGGCTGATTTCAACTCATTTTTATCATAATCAGTGGGATTAATTCATATCTACACGTTTCTGCGAGCAAGTAGAAGCTACGCTGTAGTTAAATGAAACCACCAATAAAACACAAGAATGACAAACTGACTGTACATATAAAAGATTGATCTCAAATAGGTCATTTTGTTTCTTATCTCTCTATGGGGTGGGAGATAAGTTCTGCCTTCTTGCAATCAGACTGTACTACTGTATTACATATGGTCTTCTGTTACACCAATTGGATGATTTTAAAATCTAACAAAGAACCTTATATTTGATAATTGAGTATAATGTTAAAAAAGGTGATGGTCCGATTGCATGCTGTAGTTGATGAATTAGAACTCCGGGTCTATGAAAACATGGCTGACATATAGCTTAATCTTTCTCAATCAGAAGAAAGAATCATGCCCTTCAGGTTAAGGTAAAAGGAAAAAGGGAAAAACAGTCACCTCCATATATAACTTATCATGGTTCATTGTGTCTTGGGTTTCTGAACTCGCCGTAGCTGCACAGAGTTTTCAAAGCAGTGATCAAAACCATAGTGGGGGTACCTCTCATACCATGTCGCTTCCTTCACATGTGTATCCCAATGTTCCCCGCTGCTGCTCTTTCCATACTTGTGTATCCATCCAGAGCCATTATGATGCTCGCCCCATGTGCGGTTCCATCGCTCCCCATTCTTGCCTTCCCACCATGTCTCCCCTTGCTTGATACCATGCCCATTCTGATCAAAGTTCTCATCCCATTTATCACCCCATTTTGTCCACCCATCACCCTTTGAGCGCTCTGCCCATTTGTCTGTGTATTTCATACAGGCACCCTGTCCATCAAATTTCTCACCCCATCTGTCAAGACACAAAATAGAGAAAGAAATAAGAAAATTAACAAGGGAATAAGCGAGTGATGGCTGAAGTACCAGTTGTACCAATCACTGGCGTGTTCACTTCTATTGGGTTACATGGTGCACACCTTGTTTGTAATACATCTCTACTTCAGGCTGTCCTTTTAGAGTGTTGTTGTAAATAATGATGATATGATGGAATTAATAATTGTTTCAGGCTGGGAAATTGGATGAAGGAGACGCCTGAAGTGGACAGTTAGGATAATGGATTACTTCCAGGTAACCTCATAGGTGGAACCAACAGAATAGTCCCTTCAACCCTGCATGTGTATCAATGTGCATGGAAGGTGGGTTCTTTCTCAATTTTTGAAGTAATGTTCTTTCCATGGTATTAACAATCTTCAAATACATGGAGCAAAACTGGAAGAGACCAACTTTTCCTTGCACTTGTAAAAGGGAAATCATAAATAGGAGGTTAAAGATCCTCTATCAGACTGAGTTTTTGACTTTGATTATTTCTTATGTCTAAGAGTCCACCATCAATCTGTAGGAAGGCTTTGATCTGGTTGCAGTCTTTTTTTTTTTTTTTAAAGTTTCTTTTATAGTTATATCTTCATTCCTAAAATGACTAGAAATATTTGAAAAGTTCATATTGTTTTGGGAAGATGAACATTTTGGCAAGTCAAATCCAATTAGGAGAGGAGGTAAATGAAACTATTACCTCTCATGCCAAACATGAGCATGGCCAGCCTCTAGGGGTGTTTTTGGATCAATACAACACCACTTGTGGGCCCACTTTTCTGTTTGGCCAGAGGCATTGTAATGTTCCCACCACTTCTCTTGCCACTCATTCCCTTTTCCATTCTTTGCCCACTTGTTTGCAGTTTTCTCAATATGTACAATCCCACTTGTAAAATCCTGCAAAAATCAAACCAACAGTTAGCTTGCTATAATGTATTCTACCACAGACAAATATGCACAAAAATGATCTGAAATATGACCAAGAATATTTAGATGCTGATCTCTATATGAAAATTGGCCAGCAGCCCAGCACCAAGAACCAAAGGATTGGGACTAGGACACAGTCAAGTCGTACAACATAAGAGGGATTTATGGAAGTAATATGATGAACATTTTGTCTGGTAACAGCTGAACTGGAATATACAGTCAAGAAATAGCTCATGCATCCTGAGTATTCTCATCTTATTGTAAAAGGGGGAGCATGCGTACTAAATGAAGTTCTAGCATTAAACTTCCACTAACCTGCCACATTGATTCTTTCCAGTATTCACACCATACATTTCCTGCTGCATCACGTCCTGATTTTTCTGAACCAAGCTCTTTATAGTCAAACTGGTCAGCAACCTCCCAGAATTTCTCTTCCCACTCAACACCTTCATCAGCACTAACTCCTCTTGTTAGTGTCCACTTGCAAACTACCCCATCAGGTCGTCTCTCTATACCCATTTCCTTCCACCACCTTGAACCATCTGGATTAACTCCATTAGAAGATGCTTCATTGACCTTGCTGAAAGCATCTGCTGCTTCTATCTCATATGTTGAAAATAGTGCACCAAGTTCCTTCTCCTTTTCAAAGGAAGACATATCTGAACTGGAATTAGAAGCATCCACCTTTTCAACTTCAATGAGTGACTGAAAGGGTGGGAGAGGTGGAACATGATTGTTTTCAAAAAAGGAACTCTCAAAGGGAATTGAGAGAAAGTCGACAAATGGTTCTTTCTCCATCAGTGAGTTGAATGAATTTGAATATGAAGTAGGCTTTCTTATTGGCTGCAAATTACCACCATACTCAAAACTTCTATTAATATCCTGAGGAGGTATCCAAGACCAAAAATCTGGACCAGGTGTTCCAAATGAAGTTCCTGACTGAGGTACAAACAAATCCACCTCCTGTGCACCTGGCAAAATTCAGAGATCCAAGACAAGCTATACTCAGAAAAGAAGATTGGTAGTATGGTTATAGGAAAAGCAATAGTCATAATGTAAGGCTTAAATCTTTACCCAAGTTTAGAAATGCATTTACACAAGCATCATGGCAAACCATGATCAGAGAAACTAAGAAACAATTTCTTCAAATATGAAAGGAATAGTTATAACAGTTGAAGATATGGAAAGCTTTCTGACTAATTCCAATATTGGCATCCAACAATCAAATTTGATATCTTGTATCTCCTACAAATAAATTCAACTTAGCAGAACTAACAGCTTCTAGGCTGACAAAATTCAGATAACAGAATCCATCAAGTTAAGAATCAAATCAAACAAATCTAGAAGGATATCAACAATTCTGTTTTGTGAAGTTAAAATTTGCTTTAGAAGATGACAATTTTCTTTTGTAAATAACAAGGTATACAGGAAGAACTAATAATAAAAGTAGTTCAATTTTCAATTTCCAGTTTGCCTTTCTAGCTCCATATTGTTATCCTTGACATTAGCCCCTTTATAATTGTTTACATCATAAAATTGGAGGGCTTTGAGGAAAAGATGGTGCATTTAAAAATCACTAGATGTTGTGTCCACCAATGAGCAACCTTCTGTCCATTGGTTTTCTGTATCCCAAGCAAAATACTCAACTAGTAACCTAATCATCTAACACCATTAGGTATTTTTTTTCTACCACACCTTTAATACCAATTTGATCAATTTTTTTATTGTTGAAATTTTAATACCATGTATTTTATTTGTCTGCCTCCATCCAACTTCAAGATTTCTGTTCTCTTGACTCAATTCATTTGACCTATGAAGGTTCTAAGAAAGGATCTCTATGTCATCAACATTGTTGCTATAAGAATCCTATTAATCTCTGAATTGGATTTAACCTCTGAGATCTAATAGAGATTATTATTAACCACCATGTATATGTGTGTCATGGGACCATTTTTTTTGTGGTCTTTTATGCCAAAATCAGCATTTAAACGCATATCATGCTAGGAATGGCAACATCCCCTCTACATTCCTCCTAACAGGCCAATTGATCAAGGACTTTGTTTCTCAAGGTATAAAAATTCTATTTTTTCCTACATCCTTTTAACATTATTTTAAGACTAGTTTCTTCTATAAAGTTTAGTCTGGAGGTTCTTCCTTATTCTTAAGATGCTCTTTATAGCGAGATATTTAATCCAAAGTTGATGTCAGCTAACAAAATTGTGGAAAATTGCAGAACATGATTGCTGAAGATGATGACAGCAAATTTAGAAGTCTTTAACACTAGGAAGTTCTATAAGTAGCACTCCAAAAAAGTTAATAACCCCATTCGGTCAAATTTGCAGAAATATAGGCATAATGGCATAAATTCCTCTTCCAACTTAAGTAATCTGGGTTGGCATGGCTTCAGCTCTTCCACAGAGAAGTCAACAAAAGATTATTGACATTTACAGATTTAAATAAAAAAAAAGTGAAAACTAATACACAAATACTCCTCCTTTATCTAGTCCATTTCCAGTGCATAGTTTCTATTTTAGAACATAAGAATTCAAATAAGCAGTAATGATGGTAGGACAAATGTGCCAAGAATAACAACTCCGACTTGCATAAATACTTAAAATGTTAAACTCAATGAAAACTCGCAAAACAATCACAAAATCATGAAAAATAATTACCTCCATCTGGATTCCCCTCCATCTCCATTGCTCCATAACTCCTATCAAGCCTTGGCGAGCTTGAATGAATTGAAGAAGTTTCCTTTTTCAGTGGAGGGCTTTCCTTAAGAAGAGCTTGAGCAGCTGCAATTGCCGCCGCAGCGCGGTCAATGACCTGCATTCGCTGAACACGGTCTCTCTCTTCCTTGGGAACCTCGAGGATCTTCTTGAACTGATTGGTCTTCCTCTCCAGTGCGTCCGGACTGTCATAACCTTCGGAGTGAATTCTGGCAGCAGAAGAATTCTCGACCATCTTCTGAAACTTAAGGGCCTTCCTTTCGCGATCCATGGCCTTCTTCCACATATCGAGGTATGAATCTCCTCTATTGGAAGCCCTAATTTCTGATCCTTCTTTCCTAAGTCTTCTTTCAGTTCCTCTCGCTCCTTGCTCCAGTGGAGCTGCTTTGAGAAAAAAGTGTAGCATTCTCTTGTGAAGCGGAGAAGGAAGGAAAGGAACGCGTAGTTTAGTTGGGTGAGCACTATAATGAGCCGCCGCCATGATGCCAGATTAATCTGAATGAAGGATTTCTTGCTTTCTGCAGAGGCCAAATGAGAGAGAGAGAGAGAGAGGTAAAGTTGCTGGCAGTGAGCGTTGGGGGAGTCGGTGTGTGTAAAGAAGACTTGGTTGCGATGGTGTTGGAAAGCAGTGCAGTGGGGCGGGGGGGGGGGGGAGAAGAATTGGAACCAAAAGAAATTTGGCCAATTAGAATCTCCCGTGATTTTTTAATGAAGAGCAAGTGATTGATTAAAAGTTTTATGATGCGCGTTGATTGGTTACAAGTTTTTCAGTATCATAATCGAACTGGTTTTTTTATAATGAAGAACAACGGAACTTTTTGACAGATGGCATTCAGATTTTTGAGGGGACAGGTCAGAGAACTTTTTGGTTTTTTCCAAAAAAAGGAAAACTTACACGAGGTTAGGAGATATGAGTGAGTTATAGTGTAACTTAAATTAAATTGGCCCTTACATCATAAATAAGCAAAAGTATGGGCCACTCGATTATATTGTCTATGTATATGTTCAAAATATATAACACAAAATGAGGATATTAAGTCTTTTGTGATGATTCTTATGCAGTTGGTCGATCCATTGAACAGTTTTGCCAGTCTTCGCCATATTTACCAAATCTTCATTATCAGAGTAAACCAAAAGACGAGAGATGTTGTGAGTAGGTCCTCTTGCAGTTCTCTTAGTAGTGTTCGGATTTTGGCATCATAGCTGTTGATGGCCCAACAAGGTGAGGTGATCCTTCTGCGATGGCGAGCTGATGACTGTGGATCGTAAGAGCCATCTATAAAAAGAGTGTGTATGTGTATGTTAGGTGAGAGAGGAGTCTGGCTGAATGAACTAGAAAGTAGCTGTGTTGGAGATTCCTCATATTGGAACTGAAAGACTGAGTTTGCCACCTCTCTTGGGTCCGTCTCCACATTTTCAAATATCTTTTTATTTCTGGCTTTCCAGATATGATAACACAAAATGCTGAAGCGGCTTAAGCTATTCAAAGCTTGCTGCTTGCCGTGGTGAGTAGTTAAGATGAGGAATCACTTTGTTAAATTCTTATGCATGGGCTGTATAGGCATGGTAGGTTTAGCCCAATTTGAGCTTCACACCAAACTGATCTAGCAAAGGAGCACTGAAAGAAGAGGTGATGAACGGATTCTWCCTGAGCTTTGCAAAGGGGACAAAGTCTATCCAATTCACTTAGCCAAGCAATACATTTATTCTTAATTAATATTCCTTCCCATACTAACTTCCAGAGAAATAGTTGGAACCTATATAGAATCCTGAGTTTCCAGTCAAAGAATGTGGTAGATGAGGAGCGCCCATGAGAGACAAAGAGTTTGTGGCCTGATTTAATGGAATAGGATCCCGAGGAATTGCCTTTCCAATCAGAGTGTCATGCATCATATTTGTTTCTATTGTAATATTTAGAATGTGAGCTATGGTTGATGATGTCCCAAGAACCATCAGAACCTCGGAGGTCGGCTACCAATAGGTTATTGATATCTGACTGAGTCATCGATTCTTTCAACTGGGGTAAGTGTCCTGAAAGTGTGGGGATCCAGGGATTGGAGACTGCCCTTATAAAATTACCATCTTGGACAACCCATAGCAAATTATTTTGCAGCTGATGTAGTAATTTGATTGCTTGATGCCACCATTTGGAACTTCGATGGCCTTTCTTGGTTGCAAATAATGAAGTGTGGGGGAAGTATTTGGATTTGATTTGACAATTCCAATGGCTCTTAGCGGTCTCCATATTTATTTGCTAAACATTGCTTTATCCATGGTGTTTATTGTTCTAAAACCCAATCCCCTTGATTTTTTGGCCGACAAATTTTGTCCCAAGATATTGAATGTCTGGTGGCTTTGGCTAAATTCCCCCACCAAAATGTTCTTATGATTTTCTTTATCTTAGCAGATGATGTTTGAGGGATAATTTCTGTGGCCAGTGTAAACTGGTATGGCTTGCAATACCGACTGTACTAGGGTGGTTCTCCCCGCCTGAGAAAGGAGTTTTGAGCTCAAAGAGGTGGTTCTCGATGACATCTTTATGGGATGTGCAGCTATTGGAATCAATTTGGGTACGAACAACATAGCTCTATTCAATAGATGAGTGAGAACTTCCATACTCAATATAAACAAATATGGGGAAATGGGGTCACCTTGTCTTAGACCTCTTTTCAGAGAGAAATGGTCATGAGATTCTCCAACTATTTTGATAGAGAATGAGACAATAGATATACATTGGTGTAATAGATTGTACCATTTTTCTGGGAAGTCCATCCTTCTAAGCACGTGGAATAAAAAAGACCAATCCATGCGATCAAATGCTTTGGACATGTCCAATTTGATTGCCATGTATTTCTTGCCTCTTGACTGAGATTTCATCTTATGTAATATTGCCTTCACTAGCAGGATATTATCTGAGATTTGTCTTCCCTTCAAGAATCCAGATTGATTAGGAAATAACAAATCTTGCAAGGGAGGCTGCTGATGTAGTATCATCCATTTAGTAATAATTTTATATAGCACATTGCACAAGCTGATAGGCCTGAAACATCAACAGGTTTATTGTTTTTAGGAACAAAAACTAAATTTGTATTATTTATTTCTTTTGGGAGAAATTTTGTTTCATAGAACCTCCTCACCATAGAATAGATGTCTTATCCAACTAAGTGCCAGAAATGCTGAAAGAAAAATGGGGTAAAGCCATCCGGTCTGGGAGCTTTATGGGGGTTAAACTGTTTAACAACTAATGATATTTCTTCAAAGAATGGGAGGGAGGGGGGTTGAAAGAGAGTCCATATGCTGGTGGAAGAGGGTGGGGAGGTTTAAGCCATTTAGCCTGTTAGGATCAAAATCTTCTGATAGGCCTCCCACTTTAATTATAGCTTCTTTGAATGTCTTGACTATGGAAGCCCTATTTGAGGTCCAGGAACCATCCAAGCATTTTAACCAGTCAATATTATTCTTTGAATTCTTGAAGTTGGCCATATGATGAAAGAACTTTGTGTTTTTGTCCCCATCTTTTAGCCATAACTCCCTTGATTTGATTCTCTGCAAGTACTCTTCCTTAAGCAGCCAATAGTTGAATTGGTCTTTGAGAGAAAGGAGTTCTTGTTGCTCCTTAGCTGATAAGGCTCTCATTTGTAAATTTGATATTTTATGAGAGACTTTCTGAATGTGGTTTTGTATTTGACCGAATTAAGTTTTATTCCAGTGTCAGAGAACAAGTTTGCATGATTTTAGTTTGGAAATAATTTGGTGAACAGGTGAACCGGTAAAGGTCAGAGAACTAAGAATGTGGCAAGAGGCCATTGGCCACCGGCCTTGCTTGGTTATAAAGCTGCTTTTTTTTTTATAAATATATTAAATGAGATAGGGCATAAAATGACAATCTTGCCATTACATGTCCCTTCATCAAATATGTTTACCCTTACGTGGTTGCTAATTTTTATTCTGGAATATTATTTAATTTCATCCTCACTTGTTTGGCATTTTTTTTAATTTATTATGATTTTTCAAAGGGAAAATTCTACTATATTTTAGGGGTAGTCTTTAGGGTAAATTTCTTAAAATACCCTTATGGTTTAGCTAATTAATTAAGTGTATTCTCATTGTTTGAAAATTGACTGATGTTACCCCTACTGTTTTTGACAATTGACTAATCCTTCTTACTAATTAATGTGCGTCAACGGAGATATGAAAAAGACTATTTTACCTTCATCGTAGATTACTCGGATCTCTCCATCTCCCTCTCATTTTCTTCGCACGAACTGCCAGAACGTCAGAACTATAGATAGGACAACAGAAAGACTCCTCCAATTAACAACTTTCACAAAATTCTCAAATTCCCATTTCCGCCTCCCGAGTCTCTCCTAATTCCCTCTCCTTCTTCCGTTATCTTCTAGCTTTATCCCCATCTAGTCCAGTTGATATCTTAGCATCTAGTTTGCCTCCGAGGATTCGGTTGCTTCCAATTGATATCTTACAAGGTCCACGTCTCGGTGCTCAAACCCAAAACCATAGATTTTGTTCTCGTTAAACTAGAACCATTTTCGTATTTTAGAGGAAAATGGAGGATTTTGTTGTCTCTAGTTCATATGTTACAGGTCTCGGTGCTCACACCTAGGACCATGAAAGCTTTAGCAGAGAATATCTTACAAAAAAATTTGCAGATGAAAAGAAAACCAAAATTTTTTGTTGTTCTTGTAAGGAATCAAAGAATTTCAATAAGAGTTTTGTAGAAGAGCATGAATCTGATCTGCCCATTTTCTGATATTGGTATTGGAACCCCATCTCCTATTGCACAAAGAGAACCATAGCTTGCTGATGCTTTGAAGTGTAAGGGGATTTTGGGAAGGGAATGATTTTCCTTTCGAACTAGCAATTTGAGTCAAGAAAATTAATGAATTCACCCTTCCATGAGAAACCCATCCATAAAAAGAGCGTCAAGGCCAAAAGCGTTACTATGGATCTCTCAATAGAGAGTCATCTGCCACGGCACGGTCTTCATCTTCATACCCACTAGCGGAATCAGTGGCGCCACCTCCTCTTCTCAATATGTCGGCCAACAGCGGCAACTGCAATAATCACTTGTTCCGCATCGAAGACAAATATACAATTTGGCCCACCAGGATCTTTTATTTTGAAACTCGATACAGCTAAATCCCCGAAACGGTAAGTGAAAAATCGATCAATTAGGGCTGCCAACCAGTTCAATTCTTTGCCACCCCAGCTCATATTGTTCGAATTCATACAGAAGAAAACATCGATACCTACTGAATGAACAAGGAAATTGGATAGATAAGATGCCTCATATGACTCCCATTGCAAGACGGGAAACCCCAATTTCGCCCCAGCTCGTTTGCTAAAACCATGGATTCGGTTGCTTCCCCAACTAGTCTGGTTGCTGGAAGCGCCTGTTCGCTCTTTCATACTTTTTTTCCTCTTCTTTTATTTATTTATTTATTTATTTTTTCTTTTCTTTTTTTCACATTTTACCTCGGATAACAGAGAAAAAGATGAGCAGCCAACCAGTTATTGGGGTGAATTGGTGTAGACAGAGGTCAAAAGGTATTTTTAGGAATAGAGGTAAAAAGGGTATTTTCGAAATTTTAATAAATATATTAATCACATGATATAACCAATAAGGGTACACTTACTTGACACTAAATCAAAATAAGAAAAAAAAAAGCGTTAGAAATGGCTTTGCATCAAAGGGTAGAGGTTGCGCAAACCGAGGGCCTAAAGACCGTATGAGGTGAATTGGGCATTGCAGGTGAGGCACCGGGAAATACACTTGCAAGGGGTGTTGATGAGGCAGGAGCAGGATAAGGTGGCGACCCAAATACACTTTCACTTTCAGGAGTTAGTTCTCTGCTCTTTGCTTGGTCTAAGGGGGTACAGAGATGCCATGGAGAATCACAACAGACTCAACTAGATCGGATTAGTTTGTTATCGGGGTCGAGGTCGAGGAACGTTCCTCCAATGTTGCTTGGTCTACCGGTGGCGGCAACCGGCAACGATGAACTACTGTGCCGATAACATCTCCATGAAGGGAATCAAGGGTTGGTTGCCTCAACTAATTGCCGTTGGTGACATGGTGATGGCCACCATGAAGAAAGGAAAACCAAAAGTCATGCCTGCTGGCTGCTGTTATTGTTCATCAGAATCGCCCAAAGGATGGTGTCTACTTTCAAGCGCTATTCTCACATTTTGTTTGAGTTTATTTGTGAAACGAGGATTGTAGTTTGGTGGTTTTCTTAGTAGAGACAGAGTGGTGGTGTCTAATTACTTTCGGAATCGTATCAACTATCACCCAACACTTTAATTTTGGTAGGGGAAGTTACGTTCTTTTTCTTTCTTTTTTTTTTTTAATGCTTTAGGAAAGAAATCCTTTCTTTTCTTTGGAATTACCAAATAAACAAAACCTATATAAGTTTTCAAAGAAAACCCTGAGTTGCAATTTGCAAAATCTCTTGGTGGTTGTGATTATGGTAGGGGTTTTAAGGAAAACGACTTTCAAAAAGAATTTATTATTTCTATTTTCAATTTTAGGGTAGAAGTAGAAGACAATGAATAATATTTTTTTCAGAAGTAATTAATAGACTATTAATAACGGAAGCTAAATTGACAGTTTTTGAGAATTCAAATAAAAATCTAAAAATTTTTCCTTTTTCTAAACCCTTAAAAAAACTCTTGTAACTAAATTTTATCGTCTAAAAACTCAAACTTCTATTAGATTCTCATTAGTCATTAATTCACAACATCATCTTGTTCTTTCACACACAATTTGATGTTGAACGTCAACAAGGTAGTAGTTGTCAAAGCCAGTTGTTCTGCTCGTGACATCTACTAGCTTTATATATCTGATCCTAAACTCCTAGCAAGTTGTCTCTATTAGCAACTAGCAAGACATTAAACGATCCAGGATTCAACTATTGTCTATTGGCAACCAATGATCATGGCCACCAACTAGTTCAGCTGTTACTCTGTTTCGGTTCCAAAAACAGAGCAACAAACTGGAGGTCGCATTAGTGTTCTTGAATTTAGTGAAGCCCAACAATCTGAAACCAGTATTGCTCAACCGATCATCCCTTTCCTCTCTTGAAAGGGAGGAGAGAACATAGCCTCCGCCAAGGAACGGTAAAATAGGAATTTTAAAATTTGAAGGGATCACATGGCGTCCCATGAGAAAGGTTCGTAAGTCCAGTGGGGTCAATGGGACCCACAGTGGTGGGTAGTTCACCCGGGTGTGTATGATTTTGTCTCCAGCTCATCCGGACTGCAACCAAGGTAGATAGGCCAGCACCACAAGGGATTTTATTCCCTTCCGATGGAAACTTTTTTCTTTGAAAAACCATAAATAAATAAATAAAAGCGAACATAATGCTCACCAATGAGAAATATAACCCTAATATGTACATTGTAATTTGTAAATATGCACGTTATATATATCAAACTTAATTAAAGAAAAATCCTCACGGTTCACCAACTAGTTGCAGAGAAACTGCAAACGGCCCCGTGGGTGGTATGATATCGGGAGGCATCGACGGTGGTGGGTCGATACTCGGAGGCCTAGGCGGTATTTGATCCGGCGGTTGAGGTGGCACTACATCCGGCGGCTTTGGTATCGGAATGTCGGGAATGCTCGGAGACGGAATTGGGGGTCCCGGAAATTCCGGCCCAGGATTAGGCCTCGGCGGTATCTGAGATGGAGGAGCAGGAGGAGGATTGGGGATCACTACTTCAGGCGGCGGCGCGGTTTCGATATCCGGAGCTGTACGAGTCGCAGGCACCTCCGGTGGAAAAGAGGATGTCTCCGGAGTTGGCCTCGACGGTAGCTCCGGAGGGCTTGTCGCAGGTGGATCAGATGAACCGAAGGCAGCTAACACATGACGAAGTGAAAGGCGGACGTGGGTTGGGTTGGTCTGCAAGTGGCTTACACCGTATCTCAAGGAAACCTCTTTGCAAGAATATGTGAGAGAGGAGATGGAGCGGTGGAGTTTCGTTGCAGCTGATGAATTCGACATGTAGAGAGAGAGAGGGATGGATTTCTTGATAATGTTGGTGGAGATTGTAATGCAACTCATCTTCTCTTCTGTAATTTCTTCCGCTTTCCTTTGCCTATGTACGAAAGGAAAACGAAAATCAAGTAAATAAATGCAGTGCAAACTGCAAAGCTTAAATTGTAGATGACATGCTGTTTGTACTTTTTGTACGTGGCAGTGGAATCTCAATGTGAGGACACGTTTTGGCCATGCAGATTATCATGAGCAAAAACCCTCCCGATTTAATGGCCATCTGGATCTGGTGGAAGACCGCCTTTTAGTCCGATCCATCTGAACCCCGTCGTTCAAGTTGTCCATCCGGCGACGGCCAGGGTGTCGTCGAGACGTCGACCCGCTTTAACAGCTTGACCTTCTTGTGCAGGATTATCATTCATCATTGTCTACTGTCCACCATGGACTGGACTCTGGAGTGCTTCATGACACTTAGGCCCACGAGGATATGGCACCCCAAAGCTCCAAACTACTTACAACTGACTGATTTTCAGTGTCACTTAGGCGCATGACTGATATTCCTTGATTGAATTCCTATTATGTTAAATTCATTTTATTTTTAATAATTAATGTTTTAATTTTGATCCCTCTCATTAAATTTTATATTTATTATATATTAAATAAATAAGTTTTGTGAATTTTTTTTAATTAAAATATCTTTATTTTTGAATTTAGTCTTTTTCCAACTATTAACTTCCGTTTTAATTCCTTACATAAAGTATTTTTATTTTTCACCAATAAATTATACTGATAAAATCTATACCTAATAACTTTAACGATAAATTTCCTAGGTATTCAAACACAACATGAAAACTAAATTGTTCTTTGTCCATGTAGTAGGTACATAACATAGTTCAATTAATATGGGCAAATGGGTGAAGCAATGGTCTCAAGGTTTAAAAATAAATAAAAGTATACAAATTACAAAAAAAAAAGGCATGTCTCTATAATTATATACTTGTCACAATATTTTCAATTCATTATTGACCCAAACGATTTAACTGTTCGAACTGGCACATGGCTATGATAATGGTCCAATCCCCTTAAAACCTGGGCAATTTAACTGTTCGATTGGTCATAATTTTGATCTATTAAAAAACCTTCTAACCTGAAAGATTAATCTGTTGACCTGTTCAACCTGATCACTACGTCACAGATTACATATTAAATATATATGCAAGCTCTTAGAGGTCATAACTTTATACTCAATTGTTCGATTAGGGTGATCTTTTTTCTTTTTTTATTTGGGGTATCTTTTTGAGATTTATGCATCCAAAGGTGCCTTTGGCACATTGTCCCGCTATTTTTTTTTCCAAAAACAAATCCCTTTTTTGATATCAAATCCCAATTTTTAACATTTTTTTACAAATAAAAAAATAAAAGCTGAAACAAAAATATATAATTTAAACATAAATTAATGTGTATATATATATGTATATATTATATGTACAATATAATTATATATTATTTTATTAATATAATACATGTTTATACCTATAGATAGATAGATAGATAGATATGTACATACATACATACATAATTTTGCTTCTAGGTCAGTTTTTTAAACATTGATTTATCATATTAAACAAGAAAAAGTATAATAAATAACAAGTATTTTTTATTAATGATGAAAATGAAATGCAGAATTTAAAATTGATCAAAAAATGAAATCATTTTCCTATTCAAGGGGTGGGCTAATTGTTCAACCTTTTAGGTCAAATCAGTCAAACTACATTGTCATAATTAAATAACAAAAGTTTTAAAAAGATAGAAAGAAACATAATTAAAAAATATAGAAAATATGTAGGAAACATTTTTGTATATCTCTAATATTATGTATTTCATCATATTAAACAAAAATACATGTGATAGATAAGAATTATTTTTAGTAATTGATGGAAATAAAATAAAAATTTAAACTAACTCAAACATAAAACTATTCTTCCACCTAATTAGTGGTCAATGACCCATACAATTGTGATTTGGGCAGTCTCAATTTGAACTTAGACCAACTCAATTTGCAATTTTTGATGAACTAGCTTGAATTTTTTGTCCTTGGGCTAGGCTCAGGCCTAGGTCAAAAAGTTTGGGCTTTTCTATTTTTCAAGCAATGCCCAAGCTTAGCCATAGGTAGTTTGGGCCTGCCCTAACCATACATACATACATAACACATGAATTTATGCCAAATTTTAGGAGGGGAATGATTTAGAAATCCAAGATCAAGCCCAACCTGAGTGCATCAAATTTCAATGCAATGATGGGCCTAGGTTGGACAAGCTTGACCTTAGGCTCAAGCTTTAGGCCCAATGTATAGGGTTGGACCTATTTGTGCACAAACTCAGCTGGCCCAACATGCGCCCTACTGGTCCAATCGTTTGGGTAAAATGGGTCAAGCAACGATGTCATAATAAATAATAAAAAAATAAAAATAGATAGAATTACAAAAGCAAAAATATAAAAATTTATAGAAAAACTTGATATATCTCATACTATAAATTTATCATATTAAACAAAGATAAATGTAATAGACAAGAAATGTTTTTATAATTAATTGTTGAAATGGAATATACATTTTAAAATTTCCTAAGAAATGAGATTGTTTTCTCTTTCAAGTTAATTAGGCTAAACATGATGTCGTAATTATATAATAAAACTCAGAAAAATAGATAGAAATGAAAATTTATAAAAAATATAGAAATTTGTCAAAAAAGTTGGGCACATATCTAATATTATATGTTTATCATATAAAAAAATATGATAAATAATAAGTATTTGCATAAACAACGAAAACAAGATACAAAATTTAAATCCACCAGCATGTTGTGCTTTAATTACTTATTTTTTAATGGCTTATAATAAGGATATTGAAATTATTATAGTTATATGGAATTGTCTATTGGCCACAACCTTCTTAACAACCTATTTAGTAAAAGATAGAGCAATTAAACTTTTCCAATTTAGCAACTTCAGTTGTAACAACCCTTAAGGTGTTATTCATTTTTCAAGAAGCCACTTTTCTGGGTAAATGCACTTACCCAAGCAAATGTTTCTTGAATAACACTTACCTAAGTAAGTGTACTTACCAATGTTCTTTATGTTTACCAGGTAAAGTTAAGCAATGACTGTTTTATCCATGAAAGTGTCATTATTGAAGGGATAATGTTGTCCCATCATGTATTAGCTATTTTTCCTATGGACAAGAAAGTTATTTACCCAAGTGGGTGAAGGGTAATACTTACCCAGGTAATTACCATGCTCAAAATCGTACTTTTCTATGGGAACCACTAATACTAAAAACTGAACACGAAAAAATTGGCCAACCCTTACACTGACTAACTTACCTATCCCCGTTTATCAAAAAATGAACAAGGCCTAAGAAGCTAGGACTAATGGAGTCTGGATCTGCTCCTCACATTGACCTTAAAACATGTCTCAGCTATACATCAGGAACATCTCCCATACTTGTATATTATTATTTAGGGGAGATGTTCCCAAGGGCTGTGATTGTGAGGTCAGTGTGAGGAGCTCTCTATGAGGAAAAAATCCCAATTTGGACTAATGGATCAACTCTACATAATAGTCCATGATCTATTTGATTTCTTTGATTAAAGCTTGTTACATCCATTGATTGGCCATAGTAGAGTATATGCTTCCCACAAGAGAGGATGAGTCTAAGAAAAGAAGGATAGTACAAATCCCAAAAAGCATGAGCCCATCGTAAGACTTTCAAGGTCATCCATCCTTTTGCTTGTTCTGATCCTTGAACTATGTATAGGAGCAACCTAGTATTACAATAAAACAATAATAAGGGATGAACTTATGAAACTCATACCTGCTTTTGTATTAGATGCATAAGAACTGGACATGAATAAATATTTTATGAATTTGTGGATGTTGTTCATGCATGGTAGAAATGGAGGATAAGATCCATGTGTGCTTCTTCCAGGTTATTAAGTACGGGAGAAATCTCTTAAACTACCCCTAAGTTTTAGGAAATGGACTAAAATTACACTTAATGTTTACAAAATCCCTTTAAGTACCCCTAGGTTTTCTAACAATTGACATCATCATTAAATATTGAAACGTCTACTTTACCCTTTATTATTCTTCAAATTTTCAAATACATAACACGCCTTTGACAATATGATAATATCAAAGCTAAATAAAATTTCACGAAAATTTTCAAAATATTTAGTATACACTTCATCATTCTTCCTTGCCTATTCAAGCTCTCATTAATCAATCCATCAGTGTAATCCTCATCTTCCATCTTTCTCCACATGAAGGTAAGGACGTCCACCCTCTCCACCTCTCTCTTCAACTTCTTAGTACACATGTTCAGTTCAACCTTATTCTTTTCCAATTTATTGAACTTAGCCCTCAAATGCATGATTTCCTCTACAAAAGCCTCAATTTCCTGTAATAGCTTCTTCTCCTCTTACTGCCACATATTCTGATGACTCACAAAATCTCTTAGATTGCTGCCTTAGATCTAAGGCAGTAGTCGTTAGTCTACCGTCTAAGCGATTGCTAGGTTAGGTCAAGACTGCCAGCTTAGATAGAAAAGACCATTGCTTTTGGTGATCAATCTGAGGTGGTTCGAACTTCATTAACGTGAAGGCTTGTCAAAACTGCCAGCTTAGCATTATTAAAGGCAGCATTTTGGACTGCCACCTTTGATTTTCGCAAAAATGGCCAGTTTCTTTACATGGTGGCCTAAACTACTGCCTTAGATCTTTCCTAAACACTAGCCTAGGTTCTATAAAAACGGCCTGATTCTTTAGGCGGTGATCTAAATCACTAGTTTTGATCCTCTCTGATTGTTGCCTTAGGTTTTGCCCAACATTGGCTACTCCATTAGGCAGTGGTTTAATTTGTTCAATAATTTCTAGTTAATAAAGAATTCTTGAATCATGTTCACTACATTATAACATAGTATTCTAGATGATGTACCACTTCTTGAATCACATTCACTACATTCTTGAATCACATTCCCATTTGGGCTTAGAGCTTTGTGAAGACATAGATGATGTACCACTTATTTTAAGAAACTCCTCTTGTTGTGCGTTTGTTGTTAGCTAAAATTTAAGAAAATCTAGAATAGACAAATCTTTTGATGAAACACCTCCCATTACTTTCAAATATTCATCTTTCAAACTTAATAATATCTTCTCTTCTTATAAGTTCTCTCCCATCATAATCTATTACCCTTTTAACAACATTTGATCTTATTCTTTAGACTATTATGTGAAAAATATTAATATTTTTTATCACCTAACTTTATCCATTATTGTCTTGGTTTTAGTTGTTAGAGCTGATTTTAGTCAAAATGAGGTTGATAACATTCCGGATTCTCAACAAATAAGTTCAGGTTGAAGGAGATAAATCAAGCTTTAATGATGATTAGTGGATCAAGCGAACCCAATGGAACTTTGTCCTCAAAGAAACATTAACACAATGGAGGTAGATGCGGAGAATGCAGTAGGCATGTTTCTAGGTGATATTGTTGTGGTAGTTGAAATGGAGATGTGTTACAATGAACTTGTTGATTATTTTAATGTGGTTTATTTTATGCCAGTTAAAAAAATAATGTTAGGAAAAACCAATAAAAAATGGTAGTTGGAAAACAAAATAAGAAGGAAACTTATTAGGATCGGAAGAGGCTAGTTACGAGATCTCCCTTAGATGGTCTCAATTGTAAAATGTTTTTTCTCAAAAAGACAAAAAATTAAGAGATAAAAAATTTCAAAAAAAGAAGGAAAGAATTCTAGAAATTGTTTAGGGTACATTAAGGGGGACCTTTTTCAATTGTTTAGGGTACATTAAGGTATGAATGACTTCTCTTCTTTAGCCACCAAGGGACAATGTTAGTCCTAAGCTGGAACTATTAGGGGTTAGGCTCTCCCTTAATAGTTCCAACCCTCAAAAGAGCTTTTTTTGTATTAAACCAAATACCATCTTCTTAATGGTAACTAAATGCTCTTTGCTTATGTGTAAAAGGAAACTAAACTGAATAAATGAGTGGGATTGCTAGGGTGCAAATGTAGTTGGGTTGTCTAGGGGACTTGCTATTTTTTGGGATCCTAATGTTGAGTTAAAAATTAGAATAACAAATGAGAGGATGACAACAACTGCAGTTTATGAGGAAGGAAAGGGTCTCTGGAACATGTCCTTCATGTATGGTGAACCAGTTAAGAGGAAAAGGAAGGACTTTCTACAGATCTAGCAAAAGACATAAGTTAAGGGCCATAAGGTGTAAAATTCTATGTTGTCCAAAAATTTGGAGAAAAGAGTTTAAGCAGATCTATGTTGTCCAAAAACAAGTCGTTTTTAAGGGCCGTGTAAAATTCTAGTAACTCATAGGCTGAAATATAGTTGGACAAATAGGAGAAAAGAAACTAATAATGTAAGAGAAAAGATATATATTTTTCTAACAAATAGTGAATGACTAGATCAACATCAAGAAGATAGAGTTACCCACCTGTCAACTGGAGGGTTAGACCACATCCCTGTAGTCTTAGATACCTCTCTGCAATTGAATAAGTATAAAAGGTTGTTTAAGTTTAAAAATATTTGGGCTATTCACAATGATTGTAGTAAAATCATTAAGGACTCTTGGAATCTTGAAATCCTCAAGATTCAGTGTTTAAAAAGTGTAGAAACATTAGAACTAAATTATCAAATTGGAATAAAAAGGTTTTTGGGAAAGTCCAAGAGAAAATAAAGGCCATGCAATTAGAGCTAAGTGTTGAGTAAAGCAAGCCAAGAAGCTCATACAATCAATCTAGAGTTAATGAAATTGAATTTAGTCTTGACAAAGAGTTGAAGAGCGAAAATATGCACTAGACCTAAAAGTCAATATAAAATTAGTTAAAACTGGAAGATAAAATTAACAAGTTTTTCCATTAGATAACATTAAGAAGAAGGGCAAAAAATTGTATAGTAACCTTGAACGATGAATATGAAAATTAGGTGATGGGCCAAGATTAGGTTAGAAAATGTATAGTTAATTACCTTGTAAATCTCTTTAGATCCTCAAGTCTAGGGGAATGGGGAGGTATTCTAAATATTGTTCATAGAGTGGTTAATAATGAGGATGATGCTTGGCTCCAATAAGAAGTGAGTGATGAGGACATGAAATCTACTCTTTTTCAAATGAACCCTCAAGAGTCTTGATAGCAGGTTCCCAAACTCTTTTTTTAGGGAAATAACTTTAAAACACTAGTGAATGAGTTTTTTTTTTTTTTTTTTTTTTTTTTTTTTTTTTTTTCAGAATGGGATTCTTCACAGAGACATAAACAAAACCTTCATCACTCTCATTCCTAAATGCAAAAACCCAGAGAATGCAACCAATTCTGTTTAGTTTGTCTATGCAATACCTTGTATAAAACAACCAAGATCTTGGTTAATAGGTTGAAACCCATGTTATTAAAATATAAGTTCGAACAAAAATGCTTTTGTGCCTAGTAGTATGGTATTTGATAATGTTTTATTATCTTACAAAATAATTCATTTTATAAAAACTACTAAGAAAAAGCAGAATTTTTTGGCCATTAAGTTGGATATGAATAAAACTTATGGTAGGGTGAAATGGGTTTTTGCTAAAAATGTAGTGGAGATAGAGGATGGATTTTGGAGGAAAGTTCATTGGTTGGGTCAAGCACCCTTGTTACCTCAACTATAAGTCTGAGACAGGGGGATCTTTTATCTCCTTATATATATTTTTTTAATATGCTTTGAGGTCTTGTCTTTAGCTATATATCACTTGCATAATATTGATATCTCTAGTATAAAGTTGAATCAAAATTGTCCAACCATCACTCATTTGTTTTTTTGCAGATGATTCATATATCTTCTTGAAAACAAACATTGTAAAGGGAGGCTTGCTCTTGGAGATTCTAAAATAGTATGGGAAAGTCTCTTGTTAGAAAGTGAATATCTCTAAATCTGAAATATTTTTTATCCCAAATTTTCATCCTAAACTCTAAAAAAATATAACAAGAGTTGTGGGCATTAAGAGAGTTAACAAACCTTTAATTTACTTAGGGTTTCCCTCATTTATGGGAAAATCCAAGAATAACATGTTTAATTTCCTCTATGACAGAGTGAATGGGAAAATAAATGGGTGGAAATCTACTTTTTCATAATTTGTTGGGAAGGAGGTCATGATAAAAGTTGTTTTAATGCCAATCCCTTGTTATGTTCTGTCATGTTTTTTGATCCCTCAATGAATTTGTAGACGACTTGGTAATTACCACATTCATGTGGGGTGATCTAAAAAAGCAAAAGAAAATAAAATGGATAAGTTGGAGCAAGATTTGTAAAAGCAAGGTTTGTGGGGGTTTGGGTTTTAGGGATCTTGAGATTTTCAATTTAGCTCTCTTAGCCAAATTGTCTTGGAGATTTCTCTCAAACAAAGGGAATTTGCGGGCACACACTTTAGAGGGCCAGTATCTAAGGGGTAAAAACTTTTGGAGCTTGAAAACTCCTTGAAATTGCTCATGGAGTTTTAGAAGTTTATTAGATGGCATGGACATTTTGTTAGAATGAGCTTGCTGGAGTATTGCTAAGGAGAATCTTGAAATTTAGGAGGATCCTTGGTTAGTTGGCCATTCTTTTTTCAAACCAATGGGTCCAAGTCCTAGGCCATATTACATTAGATGGTTTAAGGATCTTATAGATCCTAGTATAATTATTGGAATATCATGAAAGTATATGAAAATTTTGATCTAAATACAACTAGGCAAATTTATAAAATTGATATTCCAAGACTTGGAGGAGAAGACAAGCTAGTTTGGACCCTAGATAGCAATGGTAGATTTTTAGTCAAGTCTACCTACCAGGTAGTCCTAAATGTTAAATCAAGTTAGGTAAACGGAGAAGTAGCCAAGTTTCTGCTTAGTAGTCTTGGGAGGAAAACTTGGGCAATTAGAGTCCTTCCTAAGGTTAAGCATTTCACCTAGAAATGCTATCATAATAGTATTATTGTGAACCAAGTTTAATAAGGAGAGGAATTAAATATGAAGACAAGTGTCCAATTTGTGAATCTATGCCTGAAAACATAGTGCACAAACTGGTTTATTGTGACCATGCTAGGGTAGTGTGGTTTGGTTGCAATTTGAATGTTTCTTTTATCAATATTGTTTCCTTCTCTTTCTTTGTAGACCAATGGAATTGGTGGTTAAACCAGGTTTGAGAAGTCTAATTTTATGCTTGAATGATCTGCTATATTGATATTGATTATTTGGAAAGGTAGGAATGGATTGGTTTTTAATGATATTCAACCTAATCCTTACATTTCTTTGTTATCTTTGAACAAGTGGACGAAGGAAGTGAAGACAATTTCTTTATAAGAATCAACCCTTTCTTCTTAGAATGGTCAATATTTTGATTAATTTAGTGGAGTGGACTCAATCCTTTTACATTTTTGTAAAGCTAAAACTAATGGCAGTTTTTAGTTCTAGTTTAAGTTGATTTAGGTTCCAGGTAAAAGATGTTACGAGTTCCTTTTTGATTTCTAGATAAGGGCCTTGTAACGTAAAATCTGCTGAGTATGTTGTGGTGGTAGTGGTTTATGAATGTTGTCTTTCTACTTTAAATCTTGGAGTTTCTCGCATGTTAATTGGTTGTAACTTTATTATTATTTTCAATTCTATGAACAAGAAATCCATTGACTGCTTGCCGTTAGTTTGGCCTTTATTATTGGTCCATATTGGCCGATACGTATCGTATTGGGAACTTCCTGATGCGCCTCTCAAAGGGGTGTTTCGAGGTCTAACCTAGTTTAGGGGGTAGACGGCCTTAAACCGAATCCTCTAAATCAGGTTGAAAAAAAAAACTGAAAAAAGGGGGAGCGACACAAGATATAGTTCGATATGCCCCTATTGGTGTATCGGATTGTATCGACATTTCAAATCTAGGTTCTGAGGATGAGTGGAGGTCTGGTTTTTAGCCTCAGAAGGAAGTTGGGATGTTTTCTTTTCTTGTTTTCTTCCCCTTTTCTTTTCTCTTTCCTTCTTTTCCTTTGTTGTATTTTGGCTTTCTTTCTTGCAAAAAAAAAAAAAAAATTGTTTAGCAAAATACTAGACTCTCGAATAAAATTATATCACACCATTCAATCCCTTGCATTTTCAAAACCAAAGATGAGGGTTTAATGGTGTGACTCTCTCTCTCTCTCTCTCTCTCTCTCTCTCTCTCTCTCTCTTTCTCTCTCCTTTCATTTTTCCCTCTCCTTACTCACCTCCTTCCCACTGCTACTATAACAATGCAATGGTGATCTTCATTAACAACTCCATTTTGTATGCATTGCATGGCCCTTGCACAAGGATGACATTGATCCTTTGAGTCTTTGACTTCTTTTAAGTACTATTTGTCCATTCTAGGTGTTGATGACATGCAAATATACATTTAGGGATTGTTTGGTAAGTCTTTCAAGGTAGATCTTTCAACATCCCAATAAACAAGAAGGCACACTAAACTTTTGGGGTATTGTCTTTAAAGACCAAGGCTTTTTGGTACGCATCATGGTTTATCGGACTATTAAAAACAGTTGGAAAGATTATTTTCAGCACGGAAAGGCCAAAAGCTTCATTTGAGGTTCCAAATTTTCAACTTTTTGGGTCTTTACGTGCACTCATAGTTGGGTCTTTCGATTTATATGATGCCAAACTGAAAAAAAAAAACTTTGTTTAAATGAAATCATTTAAGCTTGCCCTAGATTGAAAGACACACCAAACACCACCTTAGTTTCGGTGCTTTGCCAATTTCTCCCTGTAGGGGCGGCCATCCGCATACTGCATATATATCATATACATCATTTTCAACGTATGGATTTAATAGATAGTAAAAATGTGAAGTCAGCATCCATACTAGTTGAAGGGACAAGGATAAAGGACCTCCTTTAGTATATCTTCAAATTCAAATTCTTAGTTACCGGCTTACAGCTAATAGAAACTGCTAAAGAGAAACACAGTAGAAAAATAAGAATAGAAAACTAGATTGGTGGGAATCCAGAATGGAAAAGGGCTACTATGATAGATTCAAAAGTTGGAAGGTCTAATCTGATTGGTTGCAATGATTTCTCTAAGAAGAAAATGGAATAAACAGATCAGAGGACAAACTTTCACTCTCAATGATAGCTTCCTTGTTTGTCATTTTGGTTAAAGGAATATTGGTTGCAAATATTCCTTTACCCCACATCCATGGTAATGTGTCTCATGTTGCAGGAAGCTCCTTATAAACAACTCAGTATGTTTTTTTTTTTCAAACAGGCAAAGTTCTCTGAAAAATTACCTTTGTGTGGGTTTGAACTTTGAAATTATACCTTCTTATAATTATTAGAAGGGATGTCAAGAAACCACCTAGACCACATGATCATTGGCATGGCATATATGAATTGTATGTAATAACAAAAAATAGACCACCTAATTAATCTATTGCCTATGAGTAGTATAGCTATAGTGAATTTGATTAGGTTTAATGAGAAGGGTTTGTTAAAATTAGCTAGAATTGTTTTTTTATTAGAATTAACAAAAATAGATGAATTTTATTGTTTAATTAATTACACAAGGGAAGCATTTGAAAAGGATGCCTAATGAAGCTAATTATTAGGGGCTGTTTGGTACCGTTGATGTTTCAAGTGTGACACTGACACGTCAAAGTAACATAAGTGTTTTGAGCTTAATGGTCAATTTTTTGTTTAGTTGGAGACTATTTGAAGTTAAAACAATCATAAAACACTTGACATGGGAAATCCTTGTAAGGGGTGATGCTTCAAGAAACATTAATGGTATTTGTGTTTCAACACTCTAACTAATGTGGTTAAAAATCACAAAGTTTTCACCAAACAGGATTCATGTACAAATAGTGATATTTGTGTTTCAAGTACAAATGATGTTAATGGGTCAAAACACACAAACTCATAAAAATAAACGGAGAGTATGAACAGGCCCATTGCAGATTTCTGATTTCCACGGAGACCTATAAACATTCAAAAAGTCAAAAATCTACACTCTATATGCACACATACCATCGATTAATGTACTTGATCCTACAAATTCTGACCCTGGGTTAAACTGTCATTCTCCCAAAAACAAATATAATTGAACACACAACTCACCCTTAAACCTATAAGAATCATACTTAGCATTAGCCAACAACCAGTGAGTACTCAAATGGATTTGGGATATGCTCCAGTACATGCAAACTCACTCACATGGTATGTGCTCTACTTAATTACAACTAAGAGGGTCTGGACTCCACAGGGATGATAAGGGAACATTGCAATTTTGAAAAAAGGATCATAAATCAGGTAAGAGTGCAAATCATTATCATAAGGCTCCGTTTGTTTTCTGTGTAAATTTCATTGATGTAAAAGTATATTGATAAAATTGATTTATTATTTAATCGATGTAAAATTCAATTAATGGGGATTTTTACATTAATTTAAACCTTACACTAAAAATAAATGCATAAAAAGACGATCTGGGAATGGAGTTTTACATTGATCTATATTTACACTGAAAACAAACATGGACAAATGTGAACCAGCAATAGAGTTTTATATCGATTCACGTTTACATCGAAAACAAATGCTACCTAAACAAATATAAAACTGAAGCTTGTACAAAATTTATATCCAATTTAAAATTTGCATTGCAGCCAAAAACACATAAAAGTTATTCTTGTAAAACCATACATGTGCATAGGGCGTAATTGGGCTGAGTGTGGTATGAAATGGGTAGAGGTGTAAATCAGGCTGTGCTGGGCCGGCACGACATGACCCGTGTGTGGTTTATGCAAAGTGCAACCCATGTCGTGCTGACTCGTGGGCCAAGTCAGGCCATGCTTCCATCTCCTGGATACTTTAGGGGTCGGCCTGACATGGCGCACAGCCCAAGTCCGCATAGGCCCATGTTGTGTCATGGGTTGAGCCTTGGGCCAGGTCGGACTATGGATCAAGCCAAACCACATTTTTTTTTAATTTTGAAAAAAATAGTAAAAATTTTAATATAAATTAAAAAAAGACAAAAAAAACTTAAAATTTTATTTTATATGAACTTAAATTCATAGATGACACAGCCCACTTGGTCGTGTCATATCGTATCGGCCATGGATCTTGGAACCCTAAACCCGGCACAACACATACGATTATGCCGTGCCCGACATGACCCGTAGTCCGTCGTGTCGGTCCTGCTCAAAATGTGCCGAGCCGCGGGTGATACGGCCCGATTTACACATATAGAAATGGGTTTGTTGGACTGAAATATGGTCCACTAAGTTTCTAACAGGAACCGAATTTGCCTAATCCAACCCAAAGCCCGACTGGATTTGCCCAAATTCGCCTAACATGAATGGATTTGTGTGATAGTAATTTGCAAAATTATGAAATAATAATTTTGTATCGCCGTCGGCCGTACTAATAACGCATCGGGAGACAGCATTTAACGACTGTTTGTTCAATGTAAAAAAAATAGAAGAAACGATAGAGAGAGAATCCAGATAAACAAACAAAAAGAAGCTGAGAAGCTGCAGAGCTGCTGCACCATGTCGACACCACTACCAGAGGAGGCCACACTCCACAGAAAAGGTAACGCAACAACCCAGCGAACAAAAACGAAAAGCCCAAACAGTACCCAGACACAGAGAGGGAGCGAGAGGAGAGGGGGGAGTACTTGAAAGCAACACGAGAAAAGACGCAGAGCTTTCAGATGCCAACTTTGCTGGGAAAACAAAACAAATTAGCTATCTCTTTCCTTTTCCTTCCTTCCAAAATGCAATAAATGAAAGGGATCAAAATCTTATAAATGTATCTGAGTTGCTCGATCTGCAACCTCAAGTGAATCTGATCCATCTGGCCTACATTCTTCTTGATTTATCAATGGCGTGACGTTTACTTTGGAGACGATGAAGTCTGGTCTCGCTGCGTTTTGTCCTCAAACTTTTATTGGTTTCATCGGTGGCGTCGTTGTTGTGGAGATCTACTCCTCTGTTTACTGAGTCGCCGAGCTGAAAAGGTCCAAACAGAAGGGGTTTTAGTTGTCTGCAGAGATGCAGGCGGTGGACTCTGCAACCGCGTCGACGATAGGTCTCCAGCTTCCTGCGGTGAAAAAAGCTGATGCGGGAGGGAAGCATCGGATTATCGCCGAATTGAAGCGCCTCGAGCAGGAAACTAGATTCTTGGAGGTCGGCTTCTGCCTATGATTTCTCGTCTTCCTTCGTTTCTTTTTTAATGTTTTCTCTTTGCCATGTTGCCTTTTGAGTTGTTTTTGATTATTTGTTATTGGGATTTGAATGCCCTAATTGCCGACAAAATAAGAATTAGTTTTTGAGCTTCTTTGTGCCCTTCTTCACCTTTCTTCGTTCAGCAATTGCAGTACTGTTGATTTTTTAGTGGTTTTAGGTCTCAAAGAGGGCGGACTTTCGTGGCCTTCAAATCTTTTTAACTTTGAGATAAGAAACGCTCTTATGCGAGACCTACAAGTTGGACCAAGTTTTCAAGTCTTTCAGGGAAGGAAGCAGTTTAGTTAGTTGATCGAAAAACGATACAGAGTTTGAGCATTTTAGTATTACTTGGCTTACCGGGCAACCGTGCAGCACCAATTGGGCTGTTAACTACAGAAAGGACGGCAGTTCAGAGTGACTGGGGTTTGAGTACCGGAAGTGAATGCAACAATTTGCCTTAGCCAAAATGATGGAAGGGCCGACCTGGCGATCCGCCTCTGGTGCCGACCTGGCAACCTGCCTCTGGTGCCGACCCGGCGACTTGCCTCTGGCGCCTACCTGGCGACCTACCCCTGTTGCCGACCTGGCGACCTGCCTCTAGCGCTGACCTGGCAACCTGCCTCTCGCGCCGACCTGGCGACTTGCCTCTGGTGCCTACCTGGCGACCTACCCCTGTTGCCGACCTGGCAACCTGCCTCTAGCGCTGACCTGGCAACCTGC